CAGTTGATGATTTCTGCACATCCAGCCACTGTTAAAAGGGTAAAAAGGCTGATCCCAAAGGTGCTTTTTCATATTAGCACCAGAAGCTTTCACACTGCCAGCAACTTTGTTTTTCCTTGAAGACATTTCGCTTCTCATCCAAGAAGCTTCTTCAGTTCTGACTGAATGGGGGAGGATGGAAGGATTTATATTCCTTGCAGTCATTTGGTTGTTAGCGCTCGTTCTGAGAATCACTGAGGCCACTTGGAGGTTTATCTGTTCCCTCAGGGGGTTACCTGAATAGTGCAAATGAGTGTGGAACTCCTGAAACGCCTGTGCTGTAAACAGGAGATAGGTGGAGCGGTAGCCCTCCCTCTTTGTTGAGAGAGGGCTGTTCAAACTTAACGGCCTCTTTGACCCCTCTTTCAAAGTTCACATTCTTGCTAGAGAAGACTGCTGATTTGAAAGAGGGGTCAAAGATACCATCTACATTAAGATTGAACAGCCCTGTCTCAACAGAGGGGGAGAGATAGGCACCGCCTATGTCCTGTTTACAATATGGTCCTTTCAGCAGTTCCCAGAAAGTTCCACACCCATTTGCACTATTCAGGTGACCCCTGAGGGCAGAGATAAACTTTCAAGTGCCCTCAATGACTCTCAGAATGAGTGCTAACAACCAGATGACTGCAAGGAATATACTGTATTTTTCGGACTATAAGATGCACCGGAGTATAAGACACACCAAGATTTTGAAGAGGAAAAGAAAGAAAAAAAAATAGTTATTGGCCTCCGCACGTCCGATTTTTGCCCTCCCCGGCCCACAGGAGCACTCTGCAGGTCTCCCATACCCTCTGTGCATCCCATTTTTATGAAAACTGGCCTGTTTTTGGCGAAACAGGATGCCCAGGGTCGGGTTTTGGGAGGCCAAAAATGGCTGTATTTGGTGTATAAGATGAGCCAACATTTCCACCCTCTTTGGGGGGGGGGGGGAAAGTGCGTCTTATATTCTGAAAATTATGGTAAATCTTTCCATCCTCCACCATTCAATCACAACTGAAGAAATTTCTTGGATGAGAAGCGAAATGTCTTCAAGGAAAAACAAAATTCAGTTGCCTTTTGAAAAATTTGCACCTTTAGGACAACCATGATCTGGATGACTGAAAATCTCCACAGAAAGGTAGAAGGCTGAAGTTTCTCTTCTAGAACTTTCAGCTATGGGTACAGTATGAAATCATATTTGAAATAATAAACAATAAACCAGGGAACCGTGTCACATTCCATCAAGAGGGCAGAGCGGGTCAGTATTAGGGCAGGTTTTCCAGCAAGGTGTGACAAAAAGAGAACAAACTGGAGGCACTGCTTTTGTTACTAAGAGATCCAGTATCTTGGGCTCCCCTTTTCTCTCATTTGTCACATGGCAATGCTAAGTTCCATCAGGCTTCTTGAAGTATTTTGATCTCATGTGAACACTTCAAGAACTGCAACTGTACTTTGGAGAGCTAAGGGATTTGCTCCTTGCCTTCTCCCTCTTCACATATTTCCTTTCACATCTAAATCTAGAATCAGGGACTGTTACTTTGTTTTTAAAATAACACAAGCTGCTCTGGAAGGGGGTTTGTGAAAGTTTCTTCTTTAGAAGGAGGGGAAGGAACATTTTTAAATAGAATGAAAGTTTTGGCTTTTCAACCTCTTTTATAGAAAAATACCCTTTAAAAGAATAGAATAGAGTAGAGTAGAGTAGAGTAGAGTAGAGTAGAGTAGAGTAGAGTAGAATAGAATAGAATAGAATAGAATAGAATAGAATAGAATAGAATAGAATAGAATAGAATAGAATAGAATTCTTTATTGGCCAAGTGTGATTGGACACACAAGGTATTTGTCTTTGGTGCATATGCTATCAGTGTACATAAAAAGACAGGATACACTCGTCAAGAATCACAAGGCACAACACCCAGTGACAGTCATACAGTACAATAAGCAATCAAATCATACTAGGAAACAATCAATATCAATATCAATATCAAGGATACAAGCAACAAAGTTACAGTCATGCAGTCACAAATGGGAGGAGATGGACGACAGGAATGAGAAGACCAATAGCAATAGTAATGCAGCCTGATGTGAATAGATTGACAGTGTTGAGGGAATTATTTGTTTATCAGAGTGATTAGCATATATCTTATTGGTTTTAACAGGAAGCAAATAACCACACAGCTAAAAAAGTGGGGGGGAGGGGCGAGAAATCTGAAATAGTTTAACATTTGCCAAACAACACATCACATATATACCAAGCATATCCATTTATAACCAGTAGACCTTTTTCAATTGAACTTATATTGAGGAGAAATGGGGTTGTGTTCTTGACCCTTTCACATGGCTGTCTAAACAGTCAATGCTATTTAAAATGCCATTAATGACCATTTCGTTTCTGGCAGGTGAGAATTACGGTATGAAAAATAAATGGGGAGCCTGACTTTTGATGCCAAAAGACAACTCTGCTGTCAACCCCAGGAACAAGTCCTCCTTTCATTGTTCTGTTGTGTTTCCTTTGCCCTTTCACAACAGAATGGTGGGTTTTTTTTTGAAATTTTCAAGTCCTTCTCCCTCTCTTTATATATACACACCATATACACAGACAGAGAGAGAGAGAGAAAGGGAGGGAGGGGGAGAGAGAGAGACGCACATACACGTGTGTGTGTAAATCAAATCCATGTACATATGTATATATGTGTATGTGTGTATACACACACACACACTGTATAGATAGATAAATATGACAATATACAATTTGGAAAGTGTACCATTTTTGTTATTTTTGATTTTCATAGTAATTCTGTAATTATTTAGAAGATGGATATGTGTGTCTGAGTGTTCAAGAAAAATATATTCCCACTTTTTTTTTTGTAAACAGCATGATCTAAAATTAGATCCCACCTAAGTTGGTTTTTAGGAAAGCCACTGAAACATGGCTTTTCCAGAGCCTTGGAAATGTGAGTTACTCTTGTTATGGGTGATTTTTGTATGATACTTTGAATGTTCCTTGAGCATCATGGGAATTATTGTAATTTAGCCATCGTTTTTAAAAATTGTTTTTAATCTTCTTACTGTAAGCCATTAGAATTTTCCTAGGACACAAGTGGAATATAAGCCCCTGTAAGCAGGTAGAATAAATACTAATCAGCATAAAATATATCATATTTCTCTAATAATTTTTATTCTCATTTGCTATTTTTTCCATACAAGACAAGGGCAACACTCTATAAAATCAAAGACTTAATGCGATCCCTTTTAATATTCTTCCAAATTTGGGTTATATAATTTCTCTTGTCCTTGTTAATAAAAAGAATTTATACAGTATTTGCTTCTTAAAGAGTTATTCTCTACACTATTCTCTACACTAAGAAGTTCCAGTTCCAGCATTTGAATAATAATGATTGGTGGATAAAAATCCAGTCTGAACATCTGGCTGACTATGAGACAAACCATAATAATAAAATCTAAATGTAAAGATTATAGAATACAAATTACAGAATAACAGAGTTGGAAGAGGCCTTGCAGGTCTTCCAGTCCAACTCTCTGCCCAAGCAGGAGAATTTGGGATTATAGCATAAACCAGCAATGGTGGTCCCAGTGGTTATCAGAGTACTGGGTTCCATACCAAAATAACATGGGCGGTACTCAGAAAATCTGCACATTGACAAAATTTCCAGCTGTCAGTTGCAAAAGGCCACTCTGCTTGGATATACTGTGGCGATACAGTATGACATCCTAGATTCTTGGGAAGAACTCAATGGTAAAGAAGTGGCAGCTGTGATTCCACATTGTTGTGAACAGATAATAATTAATAATTTAGTTAAATTTCTGTACTATATTACCAGACCACCATAAATGCAAAACAATTCTCTTTTCCTTATATCCTCCCCAATATAAAAATGAATAATGACACATCATGAAAGAATACAATCAGTGTGAAGGTTTCATCTATGGAGTGCTTTAAAATGCATTTATTATACTTTTCATAGGTGAAAATAAAGCTTCTCTTTGTCTACTCCGAAGTATAGTATTACAGTATAGTAGTAATACTATACTATAATACTATACTCCAAAGTATAGTATTAATCTGTGTAATTTTGGCATAGTATCCATAAATACTGCTAAATAAAAATTTGCTGATGGGAGAGAGAGAGAGAGAGACAGAGAGAGACACAGAGAGAGAGAGCTGATTGCAATTTGGTTTGTTGTTGTTTATTGTGCCTTTTTATCATTGCAATTATAATTATATGAAAATGACATGCTCTAGATCCGTGATGGCGAACCTATGGCACACGTGCACTGTCACCAGCTACTCTTCTGGTCTCCACCTGAAGATCAGCTGGCCGATGCACGTATGCATGCTGGCCAGCTTGTGTTCGGGTTTCCGGAGCTCCAGCGCATGCGAAGACCAGCTGGCTGGCATGCATGCATGCGCCAGAAACCTGAACACCAGGTGGCTGGCACATGCATGGGCACCGGCCAGCTGGTCTTCAGGTTTCTGGTGCTCTGGCGCACATTCCAGTTTGGGCACTCGGTGCCAAAAAGGTTTGCCATCACTGCTCTAGATTATTGAACTTCATTAGGCTATCATGGGAAAATCTGTTTTTTTTAAAAAAACAGTCTGATTTCCCAGGTCATTAATCCCAGGCCAGAAAACAGAAGCTAGAGGCAAATCATGTTTCATCTCCCTCTTTCTTACTTCTCACTTCCAAATTATTTAGCCAACTGTGCCTGAAGTCCCAGAATGATGTATTGCTTGTCATAGAAAAGTGATGGGCTGGTAAACAAGGCTCTATAGTCTACAAAATCACATTTATCCAATAGAAAGCAATGCATGAATAATGGGCCAACTCGTAAGAATATGTAGAGCAACAGGATTAACTTTAATCTTTTTCAGTGCTGTTGAAATAACTTTTCCACTATTTCTAAAATGGCTCTTATGAAACAACCTAAATTCAGCTATCTGAATTTACAACACACCAGCCAAGTGATTTTCATTACATTTTATTTCTTAAATAATTAGCATAATTTCATAGCAAATACATAATTAGTGATACAATTGTATACAGGTTTCTCCTGAGCAAGATTCTTTCAATCTGTATTCCGGTATGATGAGCATAAGAATGCAGCCAAATTATGATTCCCAGAGCTAATGGTAATATCTCCCCTCCACCAGAATAAACATATTATGTACCAATTGGTAACACAATCATTATTCATAGAATGGGACTCTTTCCTAGCCACAATTCCCCTAGTTCATTTTCCCAATTGTGCAAGTGTTCTAACTCTGTACTAACAATTTAAATATCTGCTAAATTTACATCAAGTTCCCATAAGCTGATGTCTTGGGTATTCGTCTCAAAACACTAGGCCAACATGGTCCTTGCTGATGAAGACCATGGGATTTGTCACCCAACTAATTTTATCAGCACCAAGTATTGGAGACTGAAGCAAAACCTTTTCATGGGCTATCTGAGAACCTGAATGCTTTCTCCTGAACAGATTTGTTCTGGAATAATAGATGACAGAGGACAACTTGGGAAGGTTGGAAGCGTATGTCAGCATCATCTGAGCGGTCCCTGAATGGGGCAGAGCAAAAAGTGGGGATTGGAAGAAACTCTGCAGTGGCCAAAACATTCACTAGTATTCTCTCTTTTGTCTTTTTACCTTAGCACTGCTGTTTTGAAGTGAGAATAGACTAGAGTGTTTACCATGAGATCATTCCCTTCCACATTCCCTTTTTTTCTTTCTACATGGAGATTCTATACCAGAAGAAATTAATTCAGCCTCCTCCATGCCTCTATTGCATCTCTCCAAATGACTGAATCACAAGTACATACTGGCCAACATCTCTCTCCATTACTTAGTCTGGATCAAATGCCTTGTGGTTTCCAAATGGTTTGATATTTTATTGCTTATGTGAGCTGGCTGGGGGAATATATATTGCTCCAAGGGCTGAAGGCTGGCGGGCTTCATATCTCATCAGAACACCAATTGAAGCAAACAATTAATAGTGTTGCATTGTTTAAAAAATAGGGGATGCTCCATACCACTTCAGTGTTTTTTGTTCAGGCTCAGTCTGAATCTGAACAGAGATAGGCAGATCTCTTTTATCATCACAAGAGCCCCTTTGTTTTTATTCTTCTGGATCTAATATCTCAAATCCACTCAGAGCCAGCCCGCAGACAGGTAACTGAGCTTGCAATGAGGCTGGGTAGTATAGGATGACTCGATGAGAGCAAGGTTCATGTGCTCTGATCATTTCTCTTCTGGTAGCAAGCTATGCAGTAGCGCTCCTTGTGCCCACCGCTCACTGAACAAGCATGACACACAGTGCTGTGGCACCACCTGTGGGAATGGAAGAGAAAGACAAATTTAATGACCTGATTCCCAGCCCAGCTCTGTCTGATCTGAAGGGAATTATCCAATCAGGGCTGAACATTCAGCTTCATCAGTAATGCTGCCTAATTATGCTAACTCACACAATAGGAAGGAGAAGCACAGTTTAATCTTGTTTCTTGGTTTACACTACGCACAGTGAAGTTTATATACCAATGCAGAAGGCAGTCATTATCTGCCAAAGAAGAGGGAGTCAAGGTATTCTCCAAAGCACCTGAGGGCAGGACAAGAAGCAATGGATGGAAACTAATCAAGGAGAGGAGCAACCTAGCAGTAAGGAGATATTTCCTGAGAGTTAGAACAATAAACCACTGGAACAACCTGCCTCCAGAAGTTATCAACTCTCCAATACTGGAAGTTTTTAAGAAGAGATTGGACAACATTTGTCTGAAATGTTATTTTCCTGCCTGAGCAGGGGGTTGGACTAGAAGACCTCCAAGGTACATTCCAACTCTGTTATTCTGTTCTATTCTATCTCCTTGGGAAGCAGGCCAAGAAAAGTCTAATACAATTGATTGCCTTAGCTTAGCTCAAAAAGCATGAACCTCTGTAAATATCAAATATATAAACATTGATGAGTCCTGCAAAGCTTAGTCCAGTATTCCAGATGCCAATTGAGGCCCACAAACCAAGTTTGTGTCCCAATAACTGACATCCTGCCACCAATAATCAAAGCATAAAGTAGAGTTATTATAACCAGAAGCTATTGAGAAACTTATCTTAGTAGTTTGTCTCTTTTAAAACTATTCTAACCCATGAACACCACAACTACTGATAGCAAAGTTCAGTTTAACTGGTACATGGAAAAAAGTGTTCCTTTCCCATGTCTTAAATCTTATGTCAATCATCTTAACTGAGTAATTGTAGGACTTAGTATTATGTGAGGGGAAGAATGTCTACTTTGATGTCATTTCACATCTCTATATCATGTAACCTTCTTTCACAGGTGAGTAACTCTAACCTCTTCTTTTTAGTTGACCCTTAGCTGCATCTTCTCCAAAGCGACAATACAGTACCCTTTGGAGGTGCAGAGAACAGAACTGGACACCATACTGCAAGCATGGATGCACCAGAGATTTGTGTTGAAGCTGTACAATATCAGCACTTTCCTTTTTAATCTCTTTCCCGGTGACCCTTGATACAAAATTTACAGTTTCACAGTAGCCAAACAATGAGCAAATCTTTTATTTGAACTATTCAAACCTAGGCCTATCAGAGAGGCATTAACACATATGGACTTGGGCTGATTAGCACAACTGGCAAAGGAACAATGAAGTGTATTGTAAAAGTACATCACAAATGGAAATATCTATGGGCCCATGATAAACAAACATGATGGCATCACAGCCCCAGTTTCTGCGAGCCTTTGCAAAAGGTGTGGTATGCAAATAATATTGTGGTATGATAAAGCCCAGCTGTCTAAAGGTTAACTCTCTGTTTTTATCTCATGAGATATTTCTCATCACACTTGTTTTCTCTGCTTCTGAAAATGGCAACATCATATCTAGAGTTTAGACTTCCTTTTTCTACCGTTTCCTGGAAAAGAATGGCCAACCTCTTGAACTGTAGACAGTACCTAATGAGGTACCAAAGGTGTGTTTTTTTTTCAAGAGGCAACTGGACTTTCTGGTTTTTCTTTGAAGATGTGTCACTTCTCGCCCAAGAAGCTTCTTCAGCTTTGACTGGATGGTGGGATAACCATAACCTGGATGACTAAGAATCTCCATAGATACCTAAGGAAGTGGTAGCTGAGCAAAGTAAATCAGAGCGGGAGACTCTGTAGCAGAGTTTCCTTCTCTTTTACCAAGTAAATTCAGACGAATATTCTTTCCCTCACTACCTAAACTGAATCAGGAACACAGCGCCAGGGATAGTTGCATTAACACTCTCCCTAGTGCACTGTCCTTGTCTGTCATTTCTCCACCTCCAAGTACTGTGACTCATGAGTGACCTTCCCTAAATGGATGCCCTTGAAATGTTTTATTGCAAACCTAATAGTAGTGAAGCAGGAGAGGAGCAGTATTAATCCAAAAATATATTGGGTAATTCTGAGGAAAGATACTTTCCCCAGGTAAACTGTACTGTGTAAATTGGGTCTGTCAGTCCAGTGGAGAAGGAATCTTTTTCTGAAAACCTGTGGTTTTTTTCTCCTTAAACTCTGGGACAGGTTGTGATGTGCCCACTTACAGCTCAATCTCTGTTTTGATCATGGTATGCTTTGTTCCCACATTATAGTCATTTGTAGGTATTGTATAAGGGATGTGGCGGCTCAGTGGCTAAGATGCTAAGCTTGTCGATCAAAAGATCTGCAGTTCAGCGATTTGAATCCCTAGTGCCGCGTAACAGGGTGAGCTCCTGTTACTTGTCCCAGCTTCTGCCAACCTAGCAGTTCGAAAGCATGTAAAAAATGCAAGTAGAAAAATAGGGACCACCTTTGGTGAGAAGGTAACAGCGTTCCTTGCGCCTTTGGCGTTTAGTCATGTTGGCCACATGACCACAGAGATGTCTTTGGACAGCGCTGGCTCTTCGGCTTTGAAACGGAGATGAGCACCGCCCCCTAGATTCGGGAACGACTAGCACGTATGTGCGATGGGAACCTTTACCTTTACCTAGATATTGTATCTGGGTAACAACACCAGTAATCAGAACTGAACTGGGCAGCCTTTAGAAATCAAAATTAGAAATAGATGTAAATAAATACATCACCTGCACTGGTATCGGCGTGACATAAGCTTGAACTCTTTTTTGCACTGAAAGCACAACCCTGTGTTCTGAGGAGCAGCGTTCACAACTGGCAACGTGATACCTTCCGTCTTCTGCCACAAAGCATCCTTCTCCCTAAAATACACATAGCAAATACTTAATTTACTTCAAAATACTTATTGGCAGTTTGTTCCACTAAGACATTTGTATTTGGCTCATTTAGTTCCCATGCTATTGCTGTTTTTGAAGAACCTCAGTGGTTGGAGGTTTTAGAGGAATTTACTGTAACTTCCTTTTTAGAGGAAGTTTATGAAATTGATTTACATGACCTCTGGCATAAGAAACCTGAATATCCTGTTATGGTAAATCAAAGGAAGGTAATTTTATACAGCAGCAAATTTGTTTTTTATAATCTTAAAATGACTGGCTATAACAAAAGGTTTGCTTTGTGTGTATTTGAATGTCTCAGAAAATGTTTAACAAAGATCCAGCTACAATAATCTTGCTGTTGGAAGTGCAGTTCAAATGGTTTGGTCTTGTCCATTTATGGTCATATTTTGGGCCAACTCCAAAAGGATTGTTAATACAATTTTGGATTAAGCCTTGCATGCTAAAACGATTATGTTCTTCTTCCCGATAGATGGAATCTGTCATGAATTGTAGATCTTTTGGATATGAGGGCTGACTAAAAGAACTACCATTCAACACTAGAATAAGGAATGCACACTTAATTTTCAGTGATGGCATTTTGAAATGTGTTGTCTGTTAACATTTGAACTACTTTTTTTTTTTTTTTTGACAAAGGGATGAGGAAGAGGACTTTCAAGCAATATGAACATGGTTTTTGGAATTGTTCTATATATGACATACAGATAAGAAACTTTTCCTTAACCGTCATCTTCCATCTTCTGAGTAAATATGCTCCATTGCTCAGCAGTTTGTATTGTTGAAAACCCTCTATCATTTAGTCAAAACCTTTTGCTTATAACCTGTAATTTTTGTGTTGCTTATTATCTTCTGGAGCAATAGAAAAAAATTGCTCTATTACCTATTTAATAGCTTTTTAAATATTTATCATCACGTAACCAGTTTAGACTAAACATACCCAACTCTTTAAAGTTTTCTTAGATTAAATAATGAGGATCTAGTCAAATTGTATGCATTGATCCAGTATCTGCTAAATTTTTGGTTTATGCTTTCCCCAGTGACTAACTAGGAAGCTTGCATAATAATCAAACTAATGATATTTCTTTTTTCCCCCTCCCTTTTACCATTGTTAATTCTCCATCAACAACATATCAAGTTGCATAAGATAACTCCGGGACAATGAATATGTCACCAGCTGGGATCTTGAAATCTGAACTAGTTTGGCAAAATTGGTCATTCATTATTACAGAACACCTGGTTGAAAATGGCTTCATACAATACAGCAGACCTGTCAGTGGATATTGTCCTCTGTCAGTACAAAATGACATCAATTTGATCTTCACAGGTCAAAACACAGGTTGGACTATGAATGTATCTGTGCAAGGAGAGCACTGATTGCTGTATCCCCAGCTTCACAAGGGAGTTTTCTCATGGACCTCCTATTTCAGGGAGACTAACAGGAAAGGCAATACAATCTCTCTTAGCAGGCCAAAAAGAAAATTACCATAAAAACTGCTTGGAAGTAATTAACAGCAGCCACAAGATCAAATGACTCTGCTACCTTCTGGAGAGCAGTCACAGTGAGAACATAGTCTGCAGTCATTCAAAATGAATGCTTCATTGCAGTGGTATCAGGGAGTCACACTTTCATGGCCTTTACTGAAGGAGAACATCTCTCTGTCCCTTCTCTTTTTAAGTGGATACTGATCATCTTCCCCCATTATCATCTCCTCCTAACTTGGTTCAGAGATACATGAATAGTTTAACCAGCCAAAATCTGAAAGGCACCATGAGGTAAATCTATTCCCCAGAGCTGATTTAAAAGAATTCTGTTTAGAGGGTGCCAATTTTACCCTCATGTTCTCCCCCCCCCTTTTTTTTTGAATTAGCTCAGATTCCTAATAATTGACTATCATTTTTCTCATCTTCAAAAACACAGTAGTAGCAAAGATGAGCTGGCTAATTATCATCTAATTGGGATCTGAATTGCTATTTGTAAAACCAATGCCATGTACTGTGAAGGCCTACCTCTGTGATAGTGCTGGGAAAGAACAGAGAAAAAAAGGACAGCCAACTACATGGTGGCTGAACTCAGTTACAGGGGCAACGGATACATCGTTGGAAAGCTTGAAGAATCAGTTTAGGGCCAGATTGTCATGGAGAAAAATCTATCCGTGTGATTATAAAAGTCAATGCTAACCTAATGGCATATAATCAATTATAATCAATGTCAGGTATTTGTAATGGAAACAATTACACTCATTACCTGAATGTGGAAAATATCCTGTCGGAGACAAATAAGTAGGCCATCTGCCCTGTAGTGGATAATGGCCTTCCATCCTCATATGATGGAAAAACATGCCACAAGATCTAAATGAGCTCCATTTGCTGTTTTTACTGGTTTCCATCAGGTTTTTTAAAAACTCTATTTCTAGGGTAAAGGTATAGTGTAGGGGTTCATCAATAGAGAATGTATGGGAAAAAATTAAATTTGACACTAAAGAAATAAAGGTTCACGACATACTTGGAAATAAGGCAGTATGAAAACACGGAAGACAAGAAGGATAAATCCAATAAAAAAATCTAACTAAGAGCCTTGGTAGTACAGGGGTTTAAGGCACCCTGTTATTAAGTTTATTAAGACCAGCTGCCTGCAATTACTGCAGGGTTCGAATCTCGCCAAGGCTCAAGGTTGACTCAGCCTTCCATCCTTTCTAAGGTAGGTGAAATGAGGACCCAGTTGTGGGGGCAATAAGCTGACTTTGTATAAATATATACAAAAAGGATGAAGGCTATTGCTGAGCACATTGTAAGCCGCCCTGAGTCTTCGGAGAAGGGCGGCATATAAATCAAATTAAAAAAAAAAAAAAAAAAGCCTGGTAGACCAGTACCTCTGCTAAATCCTAAAGAATTGTCACATGACCATCAAGCCACGCCCACCAAATAAGCCACGCCCACAGAACTGGTAGTAAAAAAATTTAGAACCCATCCCTGTATGGAACGGTGGATACAAGACAGACTTGGACAGATGCATGCAGAATATATGCACAGGGGAGGAAAGGAGAAGAGCTGAAGAAACTTAGCTTGGAAGTGTGGCTAGGAAAAAAGAAAGGAAATAGTTAGCCAATAGGAAGAGGCTTAATGCAGCAACACTTTTGAGGAGAGAGAGAGAGAGAGAGGGAGGGAGGGAGGGGGGAGAGAGAGGAGAGGAGAGAGAAGTCAATTCTAAAAGAGGACCTGCCTACTTTTAGAGTTTCATTGAATACCTTGGATACACTGGAAGAAGTGTCCGAGGACAGAATTTGAGCTTTCTTGGCCTGTAACCTATGTAGTATGCTTCCCCCAACCCCACAAGAATGAATTTCCAAAGCTAAAACCAACATGGAAGAAAACCATTATCGATTCCTGTTGGGCTCCCTTTACTCACTGCAGTAATTTCAAAAGTTTGATTTTCATATTGCTGATGAGGATTCCCTGTTCCGACAGCTCCTCTTTCAATTTCTCCTTCTCCTTCAATTCCTGGCAGTTTTTCTCCAGCAAAAGTTGCAACTGTTCCTTTTCTTGCTGCGAGCTAAGCAGGAAAAGAAAAGCTTGTGTAACTCAGGGTCTGAATATCAGAGCTGTGGAATGCTTCACAGTTCCTTCCAAAAAAGTGCTTTGAATCTCTTTCCTGTGGAGAAAGGAAACCTATGCATCTTTCATAGGGCATCTCCCACTGATCCCTGTTTTCATTCCATAGGTAATCCTAGTGATATCTAGCAGAGGCGGCAGTTCCCAGCATCTCTCATTATTAGACATACTAGCCAGCTTACCAGAGGTTGTAGTTTAATAATATTTGATGGATCACATAGGTTCCCTGCTCTAGTTTAGAAGCAAGAAGAAATGCTACTAGAGCAGCCTAAGCCTTTTAGAATCTATTCTAGTGTTTTAGGCTGCTGATTGTCTATTGTTGTGATCTCTGTGATCCCACTCCATTACAAGAATCAAACAGCAGACAGACATGCCAAGACATATCATTTAATTTAGTCTACACTGATCATTGCAGATGGCCTTCTTTTCACTGGTAGCAGCCCACTGTCCAATGAAATTGTGCCTCACAGCTTCAGGTTCACTAAACCAGAACTTGTGTTTGGTGTCCTTACCAGGCTGGCTGGGGGATTCTGAGAGTTGAAGTCCACCCATCTTCAAGCTTCCAAGGTTGAGAAACACTGATTTAAAGCAAATGAAATGCATTATTAGAGAAAGCTTTATAAAACATCAACGCAGAGATTTTAAACTTCTTTTGCAAAATATAAGTGGGGTGAAAATGAGGAATACTCGATTGGTGAGAAAGCTCCCTGCTCTTTATGCTTCAAAATGATTAGGAATATAAGGGAGTGCCACGCCATGTCACACCTTTTGATCTACAGTCCCTTGATAGTGTTTGTGGGGACTAGTAATATATCTCTGATATTTTAGACAAAGTTGTTTTCTTCAAGCATCCCTTGAAGATGCCATGGTTTGAACCTTGAACTTTGAACCTTGAGCTATGAGTGCAAGACATGTGCTCTGTCCCTGAACTATGGCCAGTTGCCTAAATATAGCTTTAAATATAATGGGTTCAGGCTCTCACCGGTTCAGCTGCTCCATGAGATGACCTATTGTTTTATCCTTGGCTATTAACATTTTTTTTGCTTGCCGGACATCTTCTGTCATTTTATCCAAATGGCCAGCTAGACTCTGGGAAATCAAGGATGAAAAGAAAGCACAGCAGAAGATCAGTGACTCTCAGGCAGAGAGCATATACAGTACACCTATCTCCCGGGAATTAAAATTGCCAATTGCCAATTATTAATTGCCAATTAAGACTTGATTCTGAACCCTCAAATTCTTCAATCATGTAATTGCTACATGCTGACTTCCATTCCACCAAAATGCAGAGAACTATGGCTATTGCCCCCATCTCCAAGTCAGCTTCATCTTACATTAGCTTTACAGCAAAACTCTCCTAAAACTTTTCCATTCTGGTAAAGTCTGTGACCTCTATGCATACCAAAAGGAGCTAATTTTCCAGAAAACCAGCAAAGCCCCTTAAATTTTCTAGAAATAAACATATGGTATCCCTCACTGAAGCCCTGTTTTCATTTCTAGAAGTATTCCTAGTGATATCTAACAGAGTTGGCATTCTTAACAATGCATGATATTTGGAATCCTTTAGTAAAGACATGCCAGTTCCTTATAGTTTTTTTTAGTAAAAACTAAGGCTTGCCATGGGTCTTATCCAATTTAAAAGATAAATATCAATTACATGTGGAACCATCCTCAGGGTTGTTGTTGGTATCCTATTCCCTGGCTGTCATAGAATTAAAAGGCACGTACCTTCTCATGCACTTCAATTCTCTGTGTGGCACTGTCACCTGTCTTTACAGGTCCTTCCAAATACTGAAGCACCTCAGCCTGAATCTCTTTCAATGTCAAAGCTGATCTCACTATTCCTTCTGTGGCAATGCCTCTTTCCTTGACAGGAGCCCTGGCTTCCTTGCTTTTGCTCTCACATGCTCGGTGTGTCATTGTGGTGGAAGAAACTGATGCTATCTGCAGAACAGCATCTTCCGTGGGCCACTTCCAGCATTGCTCCAGTTCCTCACTCAGCTGTTTTGCTATATTGGTGGTTTGCATTTTCTCCAGCTGCAGCTGCTCTACTTGATTTTTCAGCTTCTGGCACTCCTCTCTTAATGTGGAAGCAATGCTCTCACTTTTCTCCTGTTGGGTTTTCTGTAGAGTTTGGCTGGTGGCCTTTAATGTCTCCAGCTCGCTTCGAAGCCATGCCATCTCTTGAGTCTGCCCTTTCAGACTAGCGGTAGTACTTTCTGTCTGTTTTACCAAGACTTCTCTTTCTCCAAGGGCTTGTTGCAGAGTGGCCTGGAGCTGTTGCTTATCCTCTTGAAGCCTGACTATTTCTTTCTCAAAAGTATTTAGCTGGCCCGTGAGCGTCTGCAAAGTTCTTTCCCATCTCCTCTGGTCCTCAAGAGTTTCTGCCTCCAGCTGGAACTTTTTGCTGGCCATTTCCTCTAGCTGAGTTTCCAGGGTTGTGTTTTTCTCCAAGCTTTCCTTTAGGCAGGCAGATTGGTCATTCAGTTCTCTTTGCAAACTCAGGGCTGCTTTCTCATGGTCCCTCAGGGCCTTTTCCTGCTTCTCCAGAGACACTTGGAGGGTGACAAGTTGCTCTTGACACACCAGCAGCTCTTTCTGAAGGTCTTTCATTTCAAGCTTGGAAAGCACCAGACTTTGTTCTTGAGACACAAAAGTTTCCATAAGCGTCTCCTTCTCTTTTTCTAAATTCTTTATTTCAGCCAAACTCCTCTCTAGTCTCTCCTTAAGCGGATCTATTTCTTGAATGGTTGAATAGTCTTCTTTTTCCATCGCCCTGTAACATTTCTCTTCTGACAGCTCCTTGACTGTTTCCAGTTGGCCATGTTGGCTCTTCATGGCCACCACATGTTCTTCCCACCTGTCCAGGCTCTTTTCAGATACTTTTAATTTCTCCTGCAGTCCCCGACATTGAGAAATCAGTTGCTGTTGCCTCAAATCTTGGGCCTCCATATGTGCCAGATGCTTTCTCCTCTCTGCCTCCTGAGTACTCAGTCTCTGTTCTGCCTCTTTGAGAGCTTTCTCAGCACCGTCCTTCTTGGCCCAGGCCTCTTGACATTCCCCAGTCAAACTGGCAATCTTACATTCAGCTTCTCTGAGTGTTTTTACTACCTTGGCCAGTTCCTGCTGCTGTTTTTCCTGCTCACCCATTTTCTCTTTCTGTTGTTCTTCATACTTCGTCAGCTCTTCTTTTAGAGAGCGGTTCTCTTTAGAAAGAGTTTGCTTTAGAGATGCGTTTTCCTCTTGTTGCATGGCCAGCTTTTGCTGCAGAACGGTCATCTCCCCTATCAATGTTCTCAAGCATTCTTGTTTCTGCAAGCTGTCACCTTCCGTTATCCCATCTACCTTCCTACAGAGGCAGTGTTTGGGTTGAGGATAACATAATCCTTGGATAGAAGAAACGTTGCCTGTTGGCTGCTCCTTTTCCAAATGGACCTGCAATTCACCATCAGCCTTCTTCTGCTCCTTGCCAGAAGGTGGACTCTGGACATACCTTTCCATAAAAGGATTCAGTTTCAGAAGGGAACCCATCTGCAAGAGGCTGTTCTTTCTGCTTCGCCAGACTCCAATCCATTTCTCCAATGGCTGTTCTGGCCCAGGCCTCAACTGATCATCTACCCTTGAATCAGGAACATCCATCGTTCTGAGCCTGCTCCTGTGTACGAAGGTGCTTCCTTGATGAAGCCCCTGTTCTTGGTTTGAGTTTCCAGCCTATGGTAAATGAATAAACATTTGGTACAAGATGATACTACCCTGATAGAAATACTCAAAGATTTCAAGTTACAGTCGCCAAAACAATGTGCAGATTCATAAACAACGTGTGATGGAATTCTCTTAGCCTGGGAACAAAACGGGATGTTTCCAAAATATTGCAGATCAAGAACAGATGGGCATATTTTTATAGTGTAAGCTGCCTGGAGTCTCTATTTGCGATTTGGGTGGTCATATAAATATGTTTAATAAATAAATAAAAATAATATCAAGTAAGCAATTACCATCTTCCCCATTAAACCAAGACCAGTAAGAAAGAGTAACATATATATTGTTACTCTTACATACAATGGGTAACATACATATTAATAAATGAGGGCCAAGGTACACACAGCCAAGATTTTGCAACCTATCCCAGTGATGGGTTGCCCCCGGTTTGTACCGGTTCTATAGAACTGGTAGTAAAACCGGTAGAAGGCCCCACCCACCGACCCCGACATCATCAAAATGCTTCTGTGCATGCGCAGAAGAGCGTACTCGTGAAGCAAACACACATGCGTGGCCCCGCTGCGAACTGGTAGTATAGGTAAGTAGAACCCACCCCTGACCTATCCCCATTTTTACTTGCAATAAACCTGTCTAATCAGACTCCATGAGAATTTTACTTCTTTGGCTCTCTTTCTGAGCAGAAATAAAGTTCTGTCTCTCTGCTTCCTCGGTTCAGAATTGCTGTAAGGAAGTGCATAGCATTTGCACAGCAATTTGCAAGTACAGATAGTCCTCGACTTACAACAGTTCATTTAGTGACCATTCAAAGTTACAACGGCACTGACAAAAAATGACTTAGGACCATTTTGTCACACTTACAACCACTGTAGCATCCCCATGGTCATGTGATCAAAATTTGCTTGACAACTGGTTCATATTTATGACAGTTGCAGTGTCCCAGGGTCATGTGATCAACTTCTGACAAGCAAAGTCAATGGGGAAGTCAGATTCACTTAACAACCGGGCTACTAACTCAACAACTGCCATGATTCACTTAACAACTGTGGCAAGAAAAGTTGTAAAATGGGGCAAAACTCACTTAACAAATGTCTCACTTAGCAATCTAAATTTTGGACTTATTGTGGTCATAAGTCGAGGACCTCCTAGTCTCTCACTATGCTTGAACATTCATCCTCTCTCGGGATGAATTCTGCAAAGCAGGTGTTGTAAAAATGGAATGGGAAAGAAGATGGCTAGGAGTGATACTGATTACAGAAGCCATTATATCCCCGTTACTTCTTCCCTTAATTACAAAATTGAATTTGTAACTTTTTCTAAATGTTTGCCTTTATATTCACATAAGAAAAAGGATTGACTGGAATTGTGGAAATTGTTCCAAACATTTCTGAGGAACACCAGATTGGGAAAAATGGCTGTAAATTTATCTTTTATGGGAAATAGCAATAGCATTTAGACTTATGTACCACTTCACAGTGCTTTACAGCCCTCTCTAAGCGGTTTACAGAAGACAGCATTTTGCCCCCAACAATCTTGGTCCTTGTTTTATCGATCTCGGAAGGATGGAAGGCTGAGTCAACCTTGAGCCGGTGAGAATCGAACTGCTGGCAGCCAGCAGTCAGCAGAAGTAGCCTGCAGTACTGCACTCTAACCACTGTGCTACTATGGCTCTAGTAATAGAAGAAGTGATCTACTTTCAACTTTTGAAAGCCTTTCCCTGAAATTCTAAGTTTGAATATGATATGCATCATGCATATTATTTATTTATTGTGAAAATGAATAGGTAGCATCTCAACCAGAAGGCTTACAAAGCAATTTATAAATTTTTGTCCTTGAGTCCATAATCAGTTTTGTGGAGAGTTATGCGGAAAGTTCTATGTTTCTTTTTTTTAATAGACAAAAATACTAGAATGAACCAAGAATCCAAACCATTGCTGGTATCTTCTGCAGGAAAAAAATTGCATGTATAAAGGAAGCAGAGGCAAAACTGGTATAGCCTCAAGACACATATTATACAGCTGATTACTGAAGGTAAACAGGTGAGACTTGGTCATTGGTTACACTTGGAGCCCATGATAGAAGAAAGGTTAAATAAATAAACTCTATACCTTAGACAATCCATCCTCTGATTGGGTGTACTTTACAGCTCTGGTGGAAAATTGTGGCAAAATTCTAGGAAAAATAACAATAATAGATCAAGGAGGAAACTGCTGACTTCAGCATCTAATTTCCATGCTCTGTTTCATAACATTTCTGGAGGAGGTTTCTCAAAATAAGCTACCTGAAGTCAGTTTGAATTGTGATCCTCCAGAAATGGCTAAACTACAACTTCTGGTATTCCCTATCATGGCTGCTGTAAATCTTAGCATTTAGCAATCACAGATTCTTCACCATTACCCCGAAGAGAGCATTACAGATTACAATGTGGCTTAAATCTGTGAGAAGAGTAGAAAGGGTGCATACACAGGAGCATTATAGACTATTGCATAAAGGGACCACAAACAGTTCACAAGGGCACATAAGAGTTTGTGCAAGTTTCACAGAGTCTGAGGGTTCACTAGCAGAAAAAGTACATGAATCTGAATATGGAGAACAACTAGTCTTGTAAAGTTGTGGAGAACGATGATGAAAGGAGGAAAGAAAAGAAGAACATAAATGTTGTAATACTAGAGAAGCGTATTTGTAAAAAAATAACACAATAGCTAAAGCCTGATTATAATTTCCAATGCAGCTGCGCTTCTTATGGCAGCATTTTGAAGGTTGGAGGAATATACGTTCCATAGTACAGGGGTGGGCAACTGTGGCCCTTTTACAACCTGTGGACTTCAACTCCCAGAATTCCTAAGACAGCCAAGCTCAGGAATTCTGGGAGTTGAAGTCCACAGGTCATAAAGGGGCCATATTTGCCCACCCCTGCCACAGTACATAGGTACCTGAACAATAAACCACGAAACTGTTCCCTTATATTGCTCCAAGATGCCTTATTCAGAAACATCAGTGTGAGATGGCTAAATGTGAATCTCAAGTTCTTCACATTTGGGAAGGTTTGTGTCTTGTTACTCACTCTGAGACTATGGGCCATGCAGCATCCAAATCTTCTCTGCGGAGGGCCAGGTGGAAGGCAATGCCATCCAACTCATAGAGGGAGCTCAAAATGTCTGTCCGTAGCTTTTCGTCCAAGAAGGGGCTACGTGCATAGTACCACTCACTGCAAAGAACAAACAACAGAGCATACTAACTCCCAGCTACCCATGTTACCTCCATTCCATTCCCACCAGAGCCAAACAAATGTAACTGGCTTAGAAGGCGGGGGACCACCTATTTATTATGAACCTTGAGAATGCAAGAGAAATTAATACAGTTAACATACATCTACCACCCCTTTAACTCTGCCAACCAAGGATTGCCCCTCTAAATTGGGGTCAGGGTTATATTGAGACCCAGGGCAAAGAGAACCCTGAAATCTTTAGTGAGATTCTCAAAGCCTATCTAAAAATTTAATTCATTCATTCATTCTTGATTGTATTTAAATAATAGCATTTAAGTATAATTCATTTAATTCAAAAGTACTGTAAGTGTTATCTTGGCACTAGCTGTTTCTTTGTTCTGAACTCATCTCTTAGTTTTTAAAAAAGTTTACCCTGTGAAGATAGCTGGGGAATTCTCTAGGAGCATTTCCACTCTGCCATGCTTTTCATCCCACAAAACCTCAGAAGCAATTTGGGCTCTAACTCTATCTGAGTTGACTTGAAATACTGAGACGAAAGGGTGAGTATCAGTGCCTTGAGCTACCACACTCTCTGCAACAACAAAAATCTCATCACCTGCACTCCATACCAAATGGAAGAAAGCAAGAGAGGCAAAAACAAAATAAGGCGCCTTTATTAAATCTTGTCAATTTTACACCTTTTAATTTTTAAAAATTGTATAGATAGAAGGGGATTTATGACATGTCTTGTAAAGAGCCTGTAGTACAGTGGACTAAAGCACTGTTATTAACAGATTAACATCTGCTGCTTGCAATTACTGCAAGTTCAAATCTCATCAGGCTCAAGGTTGACTCAGCCTTCCATCCTTTCAAAGGTAGGTGAAATGAGGACCCAGATTGTGGGGGCAATGAGATGACTTTGTATATAAATATAAAAAAGTATGAAGGCTATTGCTTAATGCATTGTAAGCCGCCCTGAGTCTCCGGAGAAGGGCTGCATATAAATTAAAGCAAAAAAATAAAATAAAATAAAATAAAAAATCACTGCATTAGCATTTTCTTACAGGTCTTAAAAAAATCAGCAATCTGGAGAACAGATGGTGGAAGAGCTCTCATCAATGTGGAACTACACATAGTTGAACTTCACAGTAGCTTTCCCTGTTCTGTACCTGAACCAGAAATAAATCAGCCTAACTTTCCAACAATACAGAGATCAAGCTCAGTGGTGGAAATCAATTTTTTTTACTAGCGGTTCTGTGGGCGTGGCTTGGTGGGCATGGCGTGGCTTGGTGGGTGTGACAGGGGAAGGATACTGCAAAATCTCCATTCCCATCCCACTCCAGGGGAAGGATACTGCAAAATCTCCATTCCCACCCCACTCCGGTCAGCCAGAGGTGGTATTTGCTGGTTCTCTGAACTACTCAAAATTTCCGCTACCGGTTCTCCAGAACCTGCTGAATAGCACCCTTGATCAAGCTGTTTCCAAACCGGTACTGAATAATTGCAAGGGAAGATTCTTACCTGGTGACTTCTGGTTCCATGAAGCAGAGCTGCAAGGTCTCAGCTAACTGTTGATGGACCAGGCAGTAGCGGATGAAAGCACGGCCTTTCCCCACAGCGGTTTTCAGCTATCGAAGAAACAAATGTATGTTCCAACAAAAGACCAAAGTAGTCTTAAGAACTCCTTAAATTGCCCTATTTGCTAAATGTATTTATTTATACACTCTTTCTAGGCCATCCAACTTGGCTTACATCTTCTTCCACGTTCCCTGTAATTTGTCTTTCCCACTTGCTTCCACTGCAACGATCCATTGTGCCAATGTCCTAATCTTGGTGCAAATCAACCCATATTGATGTTCTTCACCAGAATCTGAATAAAGAACGGACTATCACCAAATTTCCTTGGGAACTGCGCTACCTTGATATAGAACTATGACTGACAGGTTCTAAACAGTATAGCGTGTATCAGTAGTGGGTTCCATTTACCTTTGCTACCGCTTCGGAACTGTGAGTGTGTGTGTGTGTGCTTGCTTCGCTCGCGGCGCTTCTGCGCATGCGCAGAACCTTTTGCACATGCGCAGAGCATCCATGATGATGTCCGGGCGGGTGGGCGGAGCCTCCCGCCTCCACCACTAGTGGTTCGCAATCCGGGGCAAACCGGTAGAAACCCACCACTGGCATGTATTTATTTTGTAGGTACATGTATGTATGCACCCCCCCACACACATATTCGGGTATATATACATACAGCACATATGTAGGTTATCCTTAGATAATGACTGCCCTTTTTATTGACCCTTGGAACTTAAAATGACACTGAAATTTATGATCAGTCCTCAAATTTATGATGATCACAGTGTTCCTGCTGTCATGTGATTACCATTTATCCGGCTTCTGACAAACAAACTCAAAGGGGAAGGAAGTTGCAAGTTGTGCTCACATGATGTTTGATTTAGTGCTTGCATCTCTTAGTGATGAAGGTGCTGGTTCCAATTGTTAAGTGAGAACTACTTGTATAAAGAAAGCAATGTAATACAACAATGCTAAGTATGTCAGGGAAAGCTGTATCTCCTGTATATGCACTTTTGTAATAATCTATGTTCACAACTTCAACAGTTGTAGCTTCAACCTTAAACTTAAACTGTCTACCATGGACCTCACACCATTCCTAAGAGGTCTATAATGGGCTGTGCATAAGCGTACCAGCGTGCCTACCGTCCCTGTCCTACTGCCCCCATTTAATTGTATTCATTTCATGTGCTCATGTCCATGTTTATACTTAGACCTGCTATCTCATACATATTTGACAAACTAAAATGAACAAATACAAGTTTCTCATCAAAGAAAAAATAACACTTCAAAGAGTTGCAACCCAATCTTCAGTGCCCATAAGAGGTTACTCCAATTACAACTAGGTCTTGATTAGCACTGATAATGAATCCCACAAAGGGGTCACATTATTTGAGGGTGCATGATTCAAAGTGATATTTCTGTGGAAAAAATGGCAATTGGTTCCAGCTTGCTAAAAATAAGCCATGAACATTTTTTCAAACCAAGGATAAGGAGATGGGACCCACGTGTGCTCCAGGTGGCTGCTCCTTACGCAGGACAGTGGTCCCCCATTGGTTTGAATGCCAGGAGATAAAGGGTTTAATTCAATGGTGAAATTCAAATTTTTTACTACCGGTTCTGTGGGTGTGGCTTGATGGGTGTAGCAGGGGAAGGATACTGCAAAATCTCCATTCCCACCCCGCTCCCGGGGAAGGATATTGCAAAATCTCCATTCCCACCTCACTCTGGGGCCAGCCAGAGGTGGTATTTGCTGGTTCTCCGAACTACTCAAAATTTCCGCTACCAGTTCTCCAGAACCTGTCAGAACCTGCTGGATTTCACCCCTGGTTTAATTATCAAACTCACAACCATGACGAAGCCTTTTAAAGCACACTAAATTTACTAACCTTGCTTCTACCTGTTTTGGGAATTGCTTATCTAACTATCTTAAAGCTATAGAGATCTTTGGGATGACAAATCTGAAAAGGCAGCCAGTAAGTCTATCTTCATTTCTGTATACAAGAAAAACTAACTATATGTAGAAGAACTTAAAGAATTTGAAATAAATGGCAAAATATTTAAATAAGATTTGGAACCAAAAATGTTATACATGAATTAAGGGCCTAGAGAAATTTGGAATATTTAAACTTTTATTATAAAATGTTGGAACCGACTACATGAAATAAACAACTTTTGGGGGAAACCAGAATTATGTTGTCTACTGTAAGTCATAACAGAAATTAGAGACTTTATGATTTAAATTGGACATTAGAGGTGACTAAAGATGCAAGGCAGAAAGAAGACTGCCTTTGGTGTTGATGAAAATTGGGTTTTACGAAATGATACAGAACACTATAACATTGGAAATATTATAGGAGATTTTTGAAAGAAGGACCAGAATATCAGTGACAATGTTTGCTTCTATCGATAGACTTAAGTTTAAAGGATGTTAATAAAAGAAAGACAGATGTGAAATCATTCCTTTTTCCATTTTGCACCCACAAAGATTAACAGTGTCTAAAATCCCAACTGCAACAACATGGGAGTTAGCCTTAATTAAGCATGAGCAATCCTTGCAATAATTGCATTTTGGGTCACATTAAGCATGACCTGGTATCAAATTACATTGTGCACTAAATAGAATATTACATTAATCAAACTCACACTAATCACAATCTGTGTGTATTATAATTGTTAGATGACAAAATTTCAAATTTTTTCTTCTTTAAAGGTAGAAATTAAAGTGAAAAAGATTCTTTAAAAATACTAGATAACATGGGTCTTTGAATATTTCTATATGTCATGGACATTACCATAGGAACATAATTTCCATTTCTTATTGGGATCCCTTTGTCAAACACAAAGACTAATGCCTATTTAAAACGCAGAGTACAATTCTAGAACATCTCATTATTTCACTTGGAAAAGAATGTTTTTGGAAGAAATACAGTATGAACTCCTGGGCATATGCAGGTTGCCAACAAGGGATGTAGTATTATTCAATAATTCCATTCAACAAATCTCACAACTGTACGCTGACCTAAGAAATAATGTAGCATATTCAGTTTTGTTTATCACAGCGTGCAAACCCAATTGTTTCAGTTTTATAAACTTCAGTTTATGACTCAGAATTATTTGTAAAGCAAGTGAAAGGGGTTGTTCAAGAAATTATGGTTAGAACAAGCTATACCAGTTTGGATATTTATATGTACATGTGATCAGTAACAGAATGCTCTTGGCATGAAAGGCTGAAATGCAGCTTTGTTCAAATTTGTTCAAATTAAGGAAATTGCAATGAGATTATCTTGGTCCCAGACATTAAAAATAAAAAGAACACTGTGTATCTGGGTAGATCTTTAAAAGCTTAAACATGGAGCTGTAGAAAGAGATAAATGTGAAGAGCTAATCTTGGATTGTACTTTTGGCAAATAGTTTTGACTAACCAGATTGCTATAGTAACTACATTTCCTTTTTAAAGATGTTTAGTGTTTCTTATGATATGCACTCATATGCACTTCCAAAATTTTCCAAAAATGAAAAAAAATAATTACCTCAATCTTTCCAAACCTAACAACCTCCAGATAAATGAATTGGACTACAGTTCCCAGAAACCTCATCCAGCATGCTGGATTTGTAACATATCATATCTGGAAGGTACCAGGCTGAAGTATAACCGTAGAAACATAACAGCATTTACTGCCATGTTTGTGAATATCATCTTAATATCTTGCTTCTTGAATGGTGGGTTGTTTAAGCCACCAGTGCATGACTAACAGATGTTGCTGAATTACTACTCACAATAGCCCAGCTAGCAGTCATGAATGATCCTTCATCATTAGCCTTGCAGTTTAAGGTATTAGAAATTGTAACTCATCAATATCTGAAACATTCCAGAGGTGGAGAATTCCCCATATCTCCTCTATCTTTTCCCATGGCAAAGAGAAGTGCAGCATAGTTGATTTGTTCTCACCAGTCTACACTGCCCCATATTCCACAATAAATTCACATAAAATATAAGCTAATCTTACTTTGTCCAAAGAAGTGACATGTTGAACCCCTGCATGTGGGTTGCTGTTTAGCCGGGTGAAGTTTCGGCTCAGAAAATCCCAATAATCTTTTTTCTGTCCAAAGAGATTTTTCTTCTCTTTCAAATCATACTAGAATATGGAGGAAGTGAAATATTATTAACATTTGTATATTCTTCATTGATGTTCTCATTAATGATTCAGTAGCTGATTATAAGCTGACTGGTGACAGAACTGAAGAATAGGTGGTTATATATTTTCTAAATAAGCATGTTTTTAGGGAATACTATAAAGATACTGGAGTTTCAGATAGGAATGCTGGGGGAAAATAACTCTGTACTACTCCTCTTCATCACATAGCAAAAAGTAAAATTCTGTTGGGGCAGAACAGAGGTGAGACTTTGCCTAAGGGGTAAGGAGTGATTTCAAAAGCTGGGAGTGCATCATGTTACAACATTAGTAGCTAGAACCAATTTAAATTGTATTTCTTGTGATATACTCTATAATCCAGGAGTAGAAGACCAGTCTTTAATTGGGGGCTATACAGTATTTCTTTGGGGCTATCTATGAGGATTTTTGGTAATGGTGGCTACCAACACATGCAATGAGCAGAAATTAGCTAGGACAGTTCCCTCCCTCCCTCCCTCTCTCTCCTAGTTTCTCTCTCCCTCTCTCTCCCTTACTCGCGCTCTCTCTCTCTCTCTCTCACACACACACACACACCCTCCTTCTCCTCCCTTTCTTCTCTCTCCCCGCTTCAAGAGAAACAGATCACATTGCCAGAGATTTGAACTAAGTCCTAGCAGAGGGTTGCTGAAACTGGAGCAACCCCTGCTATTACCTCCAGGAGCCCAAGAGTCCTATTGTCAAGCAAAGTCCTAGAATTGACAATTAAGTCTCATACCTGCAGTAGAAATTCCAGTTGGGCACAGAAGGGTTGCAGTTCCTGGCTACCATCTGTCACTGGGAGACCCCGCTCCCGGTAGTTTTGGTTCAAATCAACCAGTGTATCTAGTGGGGGGAAAGAGCGAATTCATAAAACATCTGAGTCCTGCTGTAGCATTTCTTCTCCTAAAGTTAAAATCAGGTGAAGAGAGTTTGCCAAACATACCCATTACAATCTAACCAAAATATCAGAACAAGGAATAAGGAGGAAATATATCTGGGAAGATCCCATAGAGGGATTTCATAAACTAGCAAAAAAAAAAAGAGGCTGACTCCCATGAAAACTTTTTAAAGGCTGCACACAGTTCTCATGTACAGAAAGCAAAATGATGGAACGAGCATAAAAAAGCTCATTCAGCAAGGTTATTTATGCCATCACCTGCCCTCTTGCAAAGGAACAGATTTTTAAAAAGTGTGATCTGTTCTGGGCAGAGAGGCAATCAATCAATCAATCAAAAGCAGGTTGACTCGCAGAGTAAAATATGTTAGCAGATGGGATGCCCTACTTACTGTTTTATTATTTATACCTTTAGCTAGAAAGCTCAACTTTCAGGGGTATCACTGCCTCCATACAGGATAAGTTGCCTGCGAGGGTCTGTACTTTTTATCGCTGAACTTCTAACAAAGCCAAGTCTACTCTGAGTTTAATTTTATTACTCCAGCCCTGTTAACCTGCTTGATCAAGAACCCATCCGTGTCTGGGTTAGGATCTTACCCAGTGATCCCATCTCTGATGGCAATCTGTTTAAGGCCTACTGTATATATGACAGTGTCGTCACAACAATGTCAACACAGATAGCATTATGGTCAATACTTATAACCTCCTATGTGTAAAGTCCGGTATAAGAGTTATCAGGAAAGCATCAGAATAATTTCTTCAGTTTATGGGCATCCCTGCTAGATACTGTAGATGCAGTGAGTAAGGCTTAGAATAATCTGCCTTTTATTCTTACAGACATCTTTCAAATTACAGGAAGGCATGTTGTGGTGAGGATTCATGAGGTTTGCCACAGAAGCATAACTGAGGCCAGTATAAGCTCCTGCTAAACTCACATATGATTCCACTGAGTTAATTATCCCATTCTGAGTGGTTTCTTTTCTAGCCTGTGGCATGATAGGCACTTACCTTGGGTTTTCTGGCTAGTTCTTTCTAGCTAGATATTTGCAAAACTGAAAAGCCGTTTTAATTTTAATTCGGTGACTGGGGTCTGCTCACTCTTTCGAATTCTGGCTAGGTTCTAAGTGATTCTCCTAAGGGAGAAGATCAGCAGAAACTGCCTATTCCCCAGCCATCAATTGTGCTTTGTTCAGACACAAGGTATAAAACATAATATAATACAAAAGAATACCATTCCAAGGGATATGTGAGAAATATGCCCAACGTCCAAGCAGAAGCCAGATAATGCCCATCATTTTAGTAATGCCTACAGCGAAGAGAGCAGCCATACATACTTACTCTTTAAATCCTTAATCACATGAAGTATCTCTCTGTCAGGAGCCATAGTTCCATATCACCAATCCTTCAAAGGAAACAGTTATTACTTAAGGAAATTCCATGCTGGGTCTACAGTCAACAAGAATAGTAAGGATATTTCAAGGAAGCAGATTCTGGTGTCGTAAACAAATAAAAATTATTTAAATATGCATTGTTATTTAAATTTTTACTGTTAAGGATCCCTTTTTCTGGGAATTTCATATCTTTTTTTTTTTAAATTTGATTTATATGCAGCCCTTCTCCGGGGACTCAGGGCGTCTTACAATGCGTTAAGCAATAGCCTTCATACTTTTGTATATTTGTACAAAGTCAGCTTATTGCCCCCACAATAAATTGGGTCCTCAATTTACCTACCTTAGAAAGGATGGAAGGCTGAGTCAACCTTGAGCCTGGTGAGATTTGAACTTACAGTAATTGCAGACAGCTGGTGTTAATCACAATGCTATCAGTCTGCTGAGCCACCAGGCCCATATCTTGATGGCTGCACAGACATGTACAATACCCATTTTAAAAACATCAGTATAAAATAGGTTGCATGTAATGCACAATATATAACCTTCCATATTAAGAGAAGGTAGTTGAATCTTTCTTTTTTTGCTCGTAACAGTTTGCAGATTATTGTTATTCAGTGATTACTAATCCTGATAAAGCAAAACATTTTTTCCACCCAGGAAGTATTGAAAACTCTGAGCAATAATTTCTTCCCTAAAACATACAAGGAACTAAACTAACTAATCTCACATGGACAACATTGGTTAGGATGAGTATTTCACAGCAACTATCTTCTGAAAACATGGAGCCATCAGTCCTTTCTTCCTAGCTCACAAGAAGGAAGCCAGGAGGCTGAAAAGACAGGCAGGAAACTAGTTAGTAGGTTCTCCTGCTCCTCCTTCATCTGCTGTTCTAGGTGCTCCTTCAATTGATCTCCCAAACAATTTGTTATCTGATGGATTCAGATGGACATTCCCCTTGCAAAGATCATCAAGCAGTGCAAATATGTCTCTCCATGGAAATCAACCTTGGAGACATCCATATTGTGGTAATGGAAACTTCTGCCATCACTTTTTCTCCTGATAGTGCTCCCTGGACAGTGAAGGTGAGTCTCCCTTACAATGAGTTTAGCTCCTGGGGATTTCTCAGATAGATCTATGCAGTTTTCTTGGCAGCAGCGCTGATGTGGTTTGCTAATATCTTCCTCTGGGAAGGTTTTTCAGTTTCTCAATCTAGTCCACTCTCCTAGTATTTCTTAGACGATTCCCATCCAAGTCCTAATCAGGACTAATCCTTTTTGTTTTACTTGAGTTTAAGACTCAATTAAAGGAGATTTTGAATCCCTAAGAGTCCAACCCTCCTCTGTTTAATAATTTCCAAAGAGGTAAATATGATAGCCTTGGAAATGACGTATTTTTCTTCCATCTGTTAGGTAGCTCCTTTCTGTCCCAACTGATATGAACTCAGGAGGAAGTAATACTTCCTCAATTAGTTTCTCATTATTTACTCTTAGCTTCAAAGGGCTTTTCAGCCTGAGTTTCTGTGCCAACCATACTTCTATTCCTGCCTTCATATATTCCTTTATTCCCCGCCCTATTTTCCATCCTGATCTGTTCTTCTGAAAGGAATGGCGGTGGAGAGACGACCAAACACCCCTCCCTAATTTGGATAAAGATTGCACTAGAAAACAGAAACAACAATAACAAAATCAAACTTCATTTCCCTTCAACTTTCTAGCAACCTTTTATCCTTAAGGCCACACCTGCCCCCCCCCACCCCCCGATATTTTCTAGCTATTTTTGGAACCACACAAAATATCCCAGTGACCAAGCCTGCCTTCTCTTATATTTGCCTAATAATTCAAAAGGTCTTAGTCCCCAATCAATATGCCTTGCATCTTTGGCCTATTCAAGGAACATTTACAAACCACTTCAGGCCTTGTAAGAAGTCAAATGAGACCTTGGCAATGCCCAGCTTTTGCAGCCCATGGGTAGAACAACAAATGATGACCTACTGACACAAAATAAGAAATCAAAAAATCATAACCATTACTTAAATGCTGTTTTTCAAAATGCAAATTTATAAATTTGAGCCACTTCTGAGCTTAAGATCCAGACCAAATGACGTCCTTTCCTTCCCCACCCTTGATCTCGTGCCTCTCAAACCTGTAGAGATCCGGCTCTTTCAGTTCTGCACCGTAGCTCTGTAGAGACCTTTTAGATGTTTTCCCTGTAGGCAAGTTCAAATGTGGACCTCCTGAAGTCTGAGAATTAGCCTACCTGTGGGCAGTTTTCAACAGCCTGACAGAGACAGCTACCTATTTACAGTTGCTTCCTTCATGTTGCCCCCCAGGGCAGCTGCTGCTGGCAATCCTGGCATTTTCCTCCAATTTCTGAACAGCTCAGGCTGCACATACCTGATTCGAAAGGCTGGATCCTAGCTGAGGACTGGAAAAACGAGCTCTAACACCGGACCTCTGGATAGCCAGACATGAGTGGTTTCCTTTTTCCACTGGAAGTCACTCCTTCCCTAAAGGGAAAATGTGATGTTAGAATCTCCATGGTTTCCAAAAAAAGGAGTACTAATGTAGGCCTGATCTAACCCTTTTAGATTCAGACCTTGCCGGGGCAACAGGAAGAACGGTTGCAATTACTTGGGCTATTTTGCTGTTTTCTGCATTGTGATTTGGTAGGCAGTTTGCAATTTGGAGCAAAAGGGGAATTCAGTATGTCTTGAGGCGAAAACAAAAGCCAAGTACCACTGTGACTGCCAGGCCTTTCAGATGATATTGTGAACCACTAGGCTGCCTAGTAGTGTTATTGGGAAGGCTGGTTCAGTTTGTGAATGAAATGCAACCATCACTATTCCTTAAAAAGCTGCTTTGCAGATAAAGGGAAGAATGAAAAGGAGCACTGCAGACCTTCCCCTCCAGATATGTTATGTGAGGGATGGTATATTCTATTTACCATAATAATTTTAAATTGGGGTATTTTAATTTTTGGGGTTTTAAATCGGCCAAATCTATTTAATTATTTTAATTTTTAATTATTGTTGTGTCTTGTGTTTTTAAATTGGCTGTACACCGCCCTGAGTCCTTCGGGAGAAGGGCGGTATAGAAATAAAATTATTATTATTATTATTATTATTATTATTATTATTATTATTATTATTATTATTATTATTATTATTATTATTATTATTATTTCTTCTCTTTTTTCCCCCTAAGAGTGATTTCTACACCGGTTCCTGTGAAGAAAAGTACTTAACCGCGTAGGAATAATCTTCCTGCATCTTGAGATACTTAATGGAAATCTAACCCCGGATAGGGTGAAAGGGCTAGCTGGAAGATGGTGTTAGTCAGTTTCCTCGGAAGCCCGGCTAGCTCGCTTCTCGGTCGGGCAGATCAAGTTAGGGGCGTGGAAACCGAGAAGAGCTTCTCGACGTCCTGCGGGATCGAGTTGAGCGGTGGCCGCCGGATTTGGGGGGCGCGATCGAGGGATAGCTGGACTTTGAGGCGGGATTGTTGAATTTTGGGGCGCGATCAGGAGACAGCGGAGTGTCTCTGTCCGGCCGCCCTCCTGTCAGAGATGTAAAGCGCCTGCAGCTCCGAGACTCACCGCCATGTCCGCCCCCTCCGGCCCTTGGCCCTGCGGTTCCTCTGCGACCTCCCGATGTCTACCGGCAAACCGAAAGTTTCTCGACGGAAAACCTCTTTCCGGGTTCGAGCGTTTGGTGCCCTTTCCTCCACCGGAGGCGTAGCGCCACATCTTCCTCTCCTGCGGGGGAAGGGCGAAGTCGAGAGTCGCAGACCAAGAGCACGTGAAAAGGGGGGCAAGCAAGCAAGCAAGGCCGGTGAAACAAGGACCCACACAGTTGCCACCTTAGACCAGGCGCCAGGGTGGCCGAAGGAAGGCACCTCCACGTCTGAAAAGGCGCGGTAGTTGTGCGGCGTCAAGAGCCGTGGCTATTAGTTTTGAAATTGTGAAAGGTTTATGTGAAATATACACCTTCCTCTTATGGATATGCCATACTTGATATAGCAGAACTGCAGTAGATATTGAATGGCTAATATAGTAGGTGGTGTGGATGTGTGTAGAAGACACACACACACACACACACACAAATCCACACATTTTTATGCAGTTACAGTCTCACAATTTTATTACCTCCCCTGCAAGTGTGAAAGTTCTAATTCTCAAGCTCAGAATCTGTAAACATAAGCTAACTCAGAAGCAGACGTCTGGTTCACACTTCATGCTGAACCACTGCTCATTTAATAAACCACAAATGGCGCAGTGAACAGTAGTAAATTATGAGTTACAACCCAAACTACCCAAAGGCAGACAAATTACTTTATAGTTTGCATGCTTGTGAACCCAATCCAACCCTGGCCCTAGAAATAAAAAAAACTAATTCTTTGTGCTCCAGAAGCAATCTTAGTGCACACATCTGAGAGCCATTCTGTTGAAAATAAGCAGGATATGAATATATACTAGGTTGAGCTCAGTGTTTATGGGATCTAAACCAGAGGTTCTGACCAGTTCTGGAGAACCGGTAGCGGAAATTTTGAGTAGTTCGGAGAACTGGTAGTAAAAATTCTGACTGGCCCGCCCCCATCTATTCTCTGCCTCCTGAGTCCCAGCTGATTGGGAAGAAATGGGGATTTTGCAGTAACCTTCCCCTGGAGTGGGATGGAATGGAGATTTTACAGTATCCTTCCCCTGCCATGCCCACCAAGCCATGCCACGCCCACCAAGGCACACCCACAGAACCGGTAGTAAAAATTTTTGAAACCCACCACTGATCTAAACACATACTAAAGAAAGCATATTAATCTCAGCGACCTGTTATAAGGAAAGAAAGACCATGCTTTATACATTTATTTATACTTCTATATGTACATCTTACTTAATTTTTTGTTTGTATTATGTTTTGTGCTCAAAAATATATTCCAAATGTAAAAGAAGCATCCTAAACAGTCTTCCTTGGAATTTTAAGCTTCAAATCCTTGTATGGATTTATATCACTACAGTAGAAGCATATTAATATCTTCGTATATGAATTTCTGTAAAAGTCGTCATTACCTAAACTGTTAATAGCTAATATTGTATTGTCCAAAATGATGTCTTTTCAGCTTGCCTCAATAGGCACAGAGCTTGAAATATACCAAATCTATAAATTGCCTTTTCGTGTACATAATGCATTCCCGAGATTCATTTGTGCAAACAGCACTAGCACCACCTTCTGGAGGTTAAGAGGATATCCTAACAAATCCATAGTTAACTGAAAAAAGGAGGCAACAGTAAGAATAAAATGAAGACAGTCATTGAAGACTGGGCCAGAGGTTGTGAAGGTACAGTATGCCTCATACTGAATATTAGAAAAATCAATGCGATATAAGAGAACCAGTTTGGTGAAATGGTTAAGGCATCAGGCTAGAAATCAGGAGAGTGTGAGTTTTAGTTCTGCCTTAGGCACAAAGCCAACTGTGTGGCCTTGGACCAGTCACTCATTCTCAGTCCTGGGAAGGAGGCAAGGGCAAGCCGCTTCCAAAATTTTGCCAAGAGACCTGCAAAGACTGGCCTAGGCAGTTGCCAGGAATCAACACTGACTTGAAGGCATGCACACATACAATATGGTAAAAGAATAGAATAGGGGTGGACAATTCACAGGTTGGGGTACAGCACTTAGTTATGCCATTTGCGGACACTTATTTTTATTTATTTTATTTTATTTAGTTTGTCAAACATGTGCGAGAAAACATACATAAACATGGACATGAACACATGAACTTATATAAACATGGACAAAAACACAGGAAATGAATATGAATAAATGGGGACAGTAGGACAAGGACGGTAGGCAGGCTGGTGCGCTTATGCACGCTTATGCCCACTGGAGGACCTTGCTTACTTTCCCCACTTGTCAGCTAATTGGCTGAGACTTCATGGCAGCAGATAACGAGTAATTGTGACCAGGATCCCTTGGTGAGCTTGCAAAACCCCCAATGGCCTTAAATAAAATTACTGATTTCCTGCAGTGGGAACCAGCCAGTCTGGTGAAGGGGAGGAAGTGAGAATCTTTTACTGTTTCTGTTTTCTCAGCAAAGGTGCTCAATTTCTCTAAAGAAGGAGGGCAGTGTGTATGTGTGTGGGTGGGTGGGTGGGTGGGGGGTGTTGCACCACATCCATTGCAGCTGTTATCCTCCAAATGGCAACAGTGCAAATCTCTAGGCCAAGAAAGCGACCCAGCCTGGGGCTGAACTGCTTGCATGAAAAACAAAACATGCAAGGTTTAATCTAAATAATATTGACTTTTGGTCATTTTGTAGCCTGATCTACCTCATTGGATTATTAAGAAATCCGGTGTATAAAATATATGAGGGTTGCCTTGTAAACATTTCTTTGTAGGTGTGGCTGAAATATGAAGGAGCTGCACTGCATCAGAGCACCTAAACAAATAATTCAGGGTGCTTCTAAATGGATCACTTCATTTCTATAAACAAGCAGGCCCTGTGCACTTTTCCTTCTTAATTATTTTTTTTTCCAGTAAGAAAAAATAAACAGCAGAAGCAGTGCCAAATTCAGGAAGATTACTAATGGAAAACAGATATCATCTCACATCTGATTCCATGAATGAAGCAAGATTTCTTTCATAAGGAAACTGCCTCAATTAGCTATCTTTGGTGCTTTTATTTTTCACTGTGTTAGATGCCTACTTGGACATGTTTTTATTATGCAATAGGATGGGCAAACTAGATGCTTTGGATTTCCGTTCCCATCCCTCTCTGTTGTCATAGCACACACTGGCTGGAGCTGGAAATCCAAACAATTATAGAGCGCCAAGTTGTTTCCAGGCTTGTACACAAAAATATGGCATGTGGGATGATCCCGTGAGTGTTCCTTGCAGCCATCACAGACCATTACAGGAATCCACTGAGCACAGGATTACATGTAGCCCCCAAAAGCTGCCACCTTTCTTTTGACCAAGGCTTTTCAGTCGTTGACAACTGTGTGAGAAACAGGAAGCATGGAGAAGCAAGAATGTAGGAAGTTTTACTAATATGCAAATGGCCATCTTCACACTCTTCAGTTTTTAAACTTGCTATAATATTAACACCCTTAGTCTTGCAGGACTAGTCTGAGAATAATACTGCATGTAACTAGCAATGCCTATGCTTCACTAGTTGAATTTCTGCCTAACTTGCAGCTGATCTGGACGCACTCATTGTCACTTTGCTTTTGAGGTCACCTATCCGTGTCTTAGTACTTATTTATTTCAAAAAGCCCTTTAAAACCTTGCAAACTGTTATGTTTTATTCTTCTCTAAAGCAAATTCCAGTTTTTACCTTTGCACTCAGATATTTTTGTTTGGGTGGCAACAGTTTAACATGATTGCTACTTAGGAGATGAAAATATGGGGTGGAACCAATGCATGGAATTGTGAAGATGTATTCATATATATTTCATGTTTCTAAAATGCCCATTTGCCTGAAGGAGGGGCTCTGGGCAGTGTACAGTATAATCAACATAACAGCATATAAAGTTAACATTAAAATATTAAAATTAGTTTAAGATTAAAAATTCTAAAATCATGAGATTATAAATTTCAAAGAAAAAAAAACTAAACCATTTTACAGTGGTTAATAAGGTGGAGGGAGGGCTCTTGTGGTTATACAGTTTTTAGCAAAATAAAATCAACAGATGGAACAAAAATCTTTTTTAATTGGATGTTGGGACAGCTTGCCCTTATGGATTTGAAAAACATTTACAAAATGAAAAAAGGAGAGCTGAGAAAATAGTATATACCGGTAGGTAGACCTTATTCAGCAACTGCCTTCTACAGTGACCGTTCACAGTTATGATAGTAATAAAAAAGCAATTTAGTGACCATTCCTCACATTTATGATTTTTGCAAGTCTGTAAAGAAAAGGAAAGCTAAAGTAAGATCTAAGCTCAGTTCTGGTTTCACTTAGTGACTGCTTTGTTTAATAGTTCCAATTATAGTTGCTAAGCAAGGACAACCTGTAGTCCACAGAGATGTTCAGATAGTTACTGAACAATACTTTCAGGAACCCTGTCCATATGGCCAATAATAGGAGATGTCTAGACTTCTGGACAGCCACAACTTCCTGACACCTGCCTTGAATTCAGATGAATCACTGCAACTGTATTCCCAGGAAGGAAGGACTTTTCTGATAAAATTGCAGTTTTAATCCTATATAACTGATCTACTTTTAACCTATGGAATAACCAATGGGGCATGACACAGAGAAGGATTGGAGGAGGGGGAGGAGGGGAGGGCAAGAAACAAGTGTTCTGATTCCTTTTCTGTTTCTAGAAAGTCCAGACATTAGCACTCACTAATATTTAACAGGAATTTCTACCCATGCTTACATCGGGCATTTTTCCCAAAGACCATAAGGCTACCTACCATGGCCAATGATAAACTATGATCTCAACACATCTGGTGTCAAGAAGTTGGGAAAGGCTGATCTGTGGATTCAAATATGTTAGATGGAGAATGGATGTTTTCAGGACAGTGATTAAAATATTGCACTGTTCTAGTTTATAGCCTAGGCTGCCTGCTTTGTTTCTTGTCAAATGAAAACATACCATACAACAGAAGCTCCCAATAAATATCAGGGATGGAAAAAGTCTTGATTGCTTCAACCCAGAGATATTTCACAGAGACAAGACCTGTTTTGAGCCTTTCCCCATCTCAAAAGAACAGTTTCTATAGGAAAATGAAGAAGAATAAAAGAGTTATGAATAGCAGCCCTAAACCGTTGGCCCATTTTTCCCCCTGTTGTGTTAATCTCCCTTCCTTTAATTGCATTTCTAGGTTAATCTAGCTCCAGGCAGGATTTTTTTTTATTAATGTTTGACTGGTCTAGCTATTTATGTAAATTTCCATTCAGACAAACAGATTC